TAAGAGGAATGCTATACTAAAAGAAAAAACATGAATCCACACAGATCTGCACAGTCATTGGGAAAAAGTGCAAATGAAAAAAAAAAGGAAAAAGCCTAACACATTTCAGAAAGGTCATGATTACAGAATGACTTTAAATTTAATATGCCTGAAGGTATACCTCCAAACTAAAACCGAAAAAAAAAAACATTGAAACTAACATTTTGTAACATTTTCTTTTTTGACCTCTTTCAGGTTTTTAATTCTTTACACATCGTTAAAGTTAAATTTAAAAAATGCTTTGGATTGAACAGTATTTTTTTAAAAAGCAGACAACTTATTTCTAAAAAAAACGGATAATCAAAGCATTAGTATTTATATAAATAAGATTAAGGACACAAATATTGTGTATTTTTATATGTCTAAAAACATTACAATGATGTGTTAACAAGAGGGACAACCAAAATGAAACCCCAGCTGGATGAAACAAAAAAATGCTGTCCACTATCCATCAGATTCTCCATCAAAAGAATGTATTCAAAGAGTAAGTCAGTTTACACTGAAACATTACCCATAACAATGCTGTATCAACAATGAAAGAGTGGTTTGCATTCGTTGAACACATGGATCAAAAAGAAAACAGAAAATCACTTGATGTTTGGACCATGTGTGTAATCTATGTAATAAGAAACTTCCAAAATACAAAGAAATGTGATACACAGATCAAAATCAAAGCCTATTAACCTGGCATTAATCTAAAGGTGTAAGCATCCTATGGAAAAAAAAACATAGCTGAAGTCAGAATATTATGTTAATTGATTTTAGCTTCAAATTCAAATTTCCTTTTCTAATCATTGTCATTAGGGAAAACGGTACCGGTGCCCTTAGTTGCTTTACACATTCATTAAATACAGTTACATTTCTGCTGCATTACAGTTTGTGCAAATGAATATATCTCTGAAAGCCTGAATCTTTTTTCCCACACAATTTTTACAATCATAGACACTTTAGTGGATGTTCAAATCTGTCCAGATAATTCATCAACACATCAGGTCAAATACAAATTTCAGAAAATGCACCCAACATTGTATCTAAATAGTGACAAATATTTGAGCATCAAATGAAGAAGTCAAATAAATGTGATCTTTAATGCACTACACTTGATTTTATTGAGTTTAATACTAATATCACATTTCCAATGACAAGCCAATATATTCATGCCAATAACACTGTACCAGCACAAAAGTATCCCATTTCAATGCTGGCAGTGTCACTGTCAGCTACATGCCAGATCTTGTGACAGGGAGCCAAGTGCTTTGTCTTACACTGTGCCTGTCAAATAAGACTGACTCAGACACACCAAAAACTAGATATACAGAGATGCAAGCACAGAAGAGGTAGAATGGTTACAAATGAGAGGAGGACAATTAGCTGAATTTGTAGTTGCTAATTTATCTGAGGAACTCAAAGGCTGGTTCCTGAAGGAAGCCAGGGTATCAGCTTCAAAAACACGGCTGACTAGCTTCTTCCATAATCCCATAGGCCTATATACATTTCTTTGTAATACTGGATTTGGGATATTGGAAAACTAACAAGAGATCCAGGAAGATTGGCATAACAGGAGAGAGAAAAGGACACCTGTGGTTTTTCCTTCAAAAAGCTTTAGGTCAGGTATCTTCCCACTAGCTTGCTCTAAACATGTTATCATATGAAGTGTCTGATGTACTGACTTAGTGGTTGCATAGAAACCATCTGTTATTGGTACACAAGCAGAAGAAAGTCTGTAACTGCATATGTATTACACTCTTTGCATTGAACTGCTTTAATCCTTTCAAATCCACCATCCAGAAAACATCTGGTGATTCTGCCAATACAAATGTTTGTTTTAAGGTGCATACCATACCATTTTTACTAAATGTGGCATCACAGTGGTGCAGTATTTAGCATTTCTGCCTCACAGAGCTGGGGTCCTAGATTCAATTTCAGACTTGGGGTCCTATCTGCATGGAATCTGTATGTTCTCCCTGTGTCCATGTGCGTTTCCTGCAGGGGCTCTGGTTTCATCCCACAGTCCAAAAACATAATGGCAGGTTATGGGACTTCAGAGAAAATTGCCTCTCTATGTGTGTGTGCGTTTGCATTTGTCTATCCTTTGCCAGACTGGTGTTACTTGCAGGGTGTACCCTGCCTTGTGACCGTTGCTTGCCAGGATAGGCTTTGGCACCCCCGCCTACTGATTTGAACATCTGAAGATAGATTTGAAGATTCTGTTTAAAATACTTCATTTTTAATCTAAACATTTTATGGCCTTTAAAACTATAAAATAAACATGTTGTCAGCTGTTTACTAGGACAAGATAGAGGTTACATGTATACATTAGAAATGCCTTATAACACTGTCTTATAAAAGCCTGTATAGTAGCCATGTCCCCAGGTACTATAAACTAACTTCCTTAATCACAGCTGGTTAAACAAACAGGTTATTATACAAGTCTATAATGGATAAAGGTTATCTAAATATGTAATTGGTGTGACTGACAATAAGAATTATTCCCAAGTGCTTTATTTTCGGCTGTATTTGTTTCATTTTACCTTGTACATCCTGAAGTAAACAAGTGTAAAAGAGCTGCTCCCTTGACAGTACAATAAAATCTTTCTGACATGAACCCTGAAGAAGAAATAAATGTGCAGACAAGCTGAGGTAAATGCTGTCCTTGGGTAACATGAGTTTAATGTTTTCCACAAAGCAGTCTTTTTAGAAGATATTTTTAACATACTAGCAAAAATAGAAGACAATTATGCAGACCCACATAACAGGATCCGTAGCACTTAGAAAACCGGAACTGTGAAACACAGACAACATAAAATAATACTCTAAATAGTAATTAGACAGTGAAACTTATTTAATAGATTGCTACACTGCATTATACTACTAATTAATAGGTAGACACTCTTGCAAATTCTGTAATAAGATGAGATAATACCAATGTTTCATTTTTCCTTGTTTTTAAAAGGCTAGAATTTCTGCACTGATTACATGTTATCAGTTTCTTATCCAACTGAAGATAAATTGGGCAACATTAATTTCTTTGTGTAAACCTTTGTGTAGAACTGCATATATTTTTTAGCTTTACTTTTGCTAACAGATGGTTTGTTAATTGATGATTTTGAAAGCTGTGCCAATAAAAACAACAGTAATGGCATTCTAAAAAAATGCACTCTGTAGTGAACAAGTATTTGAATTCCCGCCTTTCTGGGGAAGAAAAGCCTGCCAAGATTGCACCAAATTTTACTCCTATCTTCTTAGTCTTGAAATAGAAATGCTTAGCTGTCCAGGGAAACCAGGGTAGGTATTTAATTTGAAGGTAGGTGTGCTTGAGTTCTGACATCATGCATACCCTTTATAAATTGTCTTGTCTAAAGAAGATATATCAAGCTGCTTGTGGGAAATCTTTCACAATTCCTTGTGTAATTGTAAGCCTATGATGATGATAATGTATTTTAGAGTTATCTGACTGTTTAGTTCTGCCAGGATATTAGAGACACAGACAGGAGAAAGAAAGAAATGATTAGTATCCTGCTCATCTCAACACCATCTCAAACAAATTAGAGAATATTTAAGAAAAACAGAATAATACTCATTATGAAACACATGTTGAGTTTGATCAACACACTATTTAACTCTGCAGCCTTTTTCCTTTAGGATTTACAATTTTCACTGAAGCATAATGGATATGCTAGATGTCACCCATTTGGAAAATATAGCACTAACTACCCTCACCTTTGACGAGGTGAAACAAACAACAACTCAAGAAAGATTCCATCAGTAACATTTCATTATCTCTGCAGCAGTAATCAAATACTGAAGGCAATGGTTATGTGATGGTGCTGCCTGGCACTGATTTTAACAAGCCATGCTAATTAACTTGTGCTTTAAAATAAAACTCACTCTGCTGCTCCTTTGTCTCTACTCCCACATACTTCCGCAGTTATTCACATGCACTGAATTCTGTATATTTCCAAAAACCTAGCTACAGATATTCAAAATCAAGTATATAAAATGATGTACACCTAGTAAGAAGGGAAAAAAATAGTTTTGAAATATATAATTTTGCATGAAAAGGTGTTTTTAAATTTAGAAAGCAGTCCTGAACATCTTAATGCCTTTTGAGTAATTAATCAGTCTTTTGCAACATTTTAGTGTAAGTCTGCATGGATCTTGGTATATTTGGCTGAGCACGGTTATGTGTAAAATGAGTTGCAAAGATTCTTTGCCCATTTACACAGATGATGAGTTGACATCATGCCTGGCACCTGCACGAACAGCATTTTATCACAGTAGACAGACAAATGATCTCATCCTTTCCCAAAAAATGTTTTGGGGCTCAGTACAGGGGGAGAGACAGAAAGGATCAGTGAGGTTCTCTGTCCCGACATCTCTGTGGCTTGAGAACCTTGCTCTTAAGTGCTCATCATCATATATTGAAATCCTACACAAAAAAACGGAAGTGCATTTTTTTTATTTTTATGTGTGTTATTTTAATGTCTCAGTACTTCACTGGCTTGCTAGTTGTAACAGCTGGAGAAGATGGTGATTTAAAATGCTGAGAAGACTGCTCACTTCTGTTCCTTTCCGCCTTTCACCAGCAAAAACATATCTACAGAATTTTTAAGGCCAGCTCAATATTTGACCAACAAAAAGTTTAAGCTAATAAAATGTGGAGTATGTTTTCTCAGTACCCTCTAGTACCCTAAAACCTAAAGTGCAAATTATAATAAAGACCCCAATCCTTTCCACACTAGCTGTGCACATGCCTGACCATGGTAAACTGATTTCTGAGGCAACCAGAACCAGAGAACGTGACTGTGATGGATAGTTCTTATTCAAGGGATATAGATTTGAATTCCTGCCAAAGTAAATTAGACTGTTTGGCTGCTCTTGCAGTATTGGTGTATGGAACATAGTGTGCATTTTCTTGTGGCACTCAGTAAAACATGCATATTCAAAACCTGAGAAACTACCATTTTCAGGAGTGGTCTGGATGGGTCAGCACAGGAGCAATGTAGACACGATGGCTAGACAAGATTGAGAAGAAAGAACAACAGCTGAAAGATACTTGGTATGCACTGGAGACTGTATGCCACATTATAATAGTCGGTAATGCCTGTGGTTGAAAGAATTCAGGATTTCATAAAATCATCAGCTATTACAGCTACATTATTAGCTGCAGTCTTCAGTGACTGCTTTTTGTAAATGTATTTAGGTCAACTGATCATCAGATATTAAAATTATAACAGTCTTTACATAATTCTAATTTCACTAATAATGTTCAAAGAACTCAAACTCCAGAGAAGTTGACATTTGATTTAAAAATTACTTATTTTGATAAAATAATAAAACCCCAGTGAATGACAGATTGGCTGTTGCTTGGCAACTGTCCTGAGTCATGCACAGCTCTTCAGCTATACTGGGGGTAAATGCAGAATAATCTTTGGACTATCCCAAGAGCAGTGGAAGAGGCTACCCAAGCAAATGGCACTGACTTTGACCATCTAGACAGGTAAAACAATGGGGTGGGGGTGCCATAATGGTATCTTCAAAATAGGTGAGCCCAGGAAAATAGACACACAACAGCAGCCAGAAAGTACAAACCACTGCTCCTGTTTTTCATTGTAAGGGAAACAAAAAGCAAACACAACCTAGCTCATCTTTGAGCTGATAACTGATGAGCATAACCCAGCAGCTAAGATGCTTACCAGGTTCAAAACAGCCTCTCAAATCACAGTCTCTGAGACCTTCACAAAACATTATCCAAAATGGGTTTCTCTCAGAAAGTCTGAAATTTCCAAAAATGCAAAAACCTCATGGTTCTGTAGTCTCACAGCCACTTGGTCGGTTGCTTCCTTCTCCCTCTGGTAGATAAGCATAACAGAGAAATTGCGCTCTGTCTTCAAACAGGAGATCAAACCGGCCTTTTGAAACCTCAGCTTCCTGCTTTTCAAACTGTCACCACACCAATTGTTTTACAGAAACTTACCAGGTGACTGAGGTCAGCGGCTCATTCCCCACAGCTTTCTGGGGAATGTGGTTCAGACAAAGGATGCCACCTTGTCTGAACTTGTTGTATTATCACCATAGTTAACAGTATTCAGTTAAAGGAATACATATTTCAAATGAATAATACTTGCACGTACAGAAAAGTAAAAATTTTTGCTTTTCTTTGCTCTTAAAAGTAATGCAATTTTAAAAACTCAGATCGCATAATCCACTTACACTTCCTCCTTTGATCCAAACTGTCAAAAAGTCAGATTTTTTTTACTGGAAAAAGAACTATAGGATTCCAGAAGACAAGTGAATCTAGCACCCACAGTTTACTCTTTGGAGAGCATCCAATGTAAACACCAAAACCTCTTTCTTTACTCATTTTGAAAACATGGATTTTCACAGCTCTGCCACAATATTTATGCAGACATGAAGTTACGCACTTAAATACCAGCAAGAAGCCAGAGTCCAGTGTGTTCCTCCTTGTCTTAAAGAACTGCAGTCAATCTCACTGGTTGCTTAGATGTATATATATATACACACATAATTTATTTAACAATATTCATCAGTCTTTAAATTAAAATTAAAAACAGTAAATGTAGTCTTAGATTACTTAATACACAAACCCTTCCAAGATTAAAATAAAAACTCACTAGGTCATCCATGATGACCAGCTCTTTATAAATAATGGATTGTTTATTTTCTCCTATTTGCCACCATTATTGTGGTGCTATGTTTAAACAGTTTTATTCTTTTGTTTTTTAAGAGACGGGAAACCTACTATTACATTTAAGGAAATGAAAAATTAAACAAAGGTGTTCAAATAAAGGAAATTCTAATTATTTAAAGATACTTAAAAGTACTGTTATGTTTATGTTATCAGCATAAACTCGTATCTCAGCCTGGCCCCCTAACTTTAATTCATAAGATATCAGAACAACCGTTTTGTTTGTCAATATTAAGAATGGTGCACTCCTAGTTAATTTCTGGAGGCTCAGTATGCCTCCAGTAAACACTATGTCTATCACTATGTTTTTCACGGGTGGCCGAGTACTGCCGTTTAGGGATAGTTAGGTCTAAATTAATTACTTTGGAAGAGGGAGAAATTGTAATTACATCAGTTAATATTTGCCATCAGAGACCTCAGGTGAACTTCTCATCCATTCCTTCCCCTTGATTCCAAATTGGAAAGGTGTGTCACACATAGGTGCTGAAATTATAGTTTATACCACAGTGCTTCAGGCAGCTGAAACTCAAGGAGGCTGAAAGAAAAACCAACTTATGTGCAGGAGAAAATGGTAGGGTAGCCATTTTTACTACATGACACACACTCCGTTTACACTTTCTGATCACAAAGAAACGTAATTCCACTGCATTCCACCTTGGAACACACAAACAAACCAGCAAAAACTTAAACCAAAAAACAATTACTGGAGCCTCCCAAGTAGCTCAACTGGTAAAAGTGATCACCTGAGTGCAGGTTGAGCACCATAATCATGGGATCAAACCTTGGTAGCTACCATCGGTAGCCGATGGTGACCAGGATTCCTCAAAGTGGTTGCACATAGTGTGTCTCCAAGGGTAGGGTTGAGGGTAGGCCAGGGATCTCTGGACCAGCAGTGATACAGTAAACTCTGGACCCTTCCAGTCAATTTCAGACATTTGGTACTCTAAGGCAGGGATGTTGGAATATGTTGCGTGATATGGTAAAAGACAAATTGCCCAAAATGGGCAGGGCGGAGGAGTTTGCTTATACCTTTTCATTCACCCCTGTATGCAGTTGTGGGGTTGGAAGCCAAAATGTGAAAAACACACAACTGGCTATTTCAAAAATAAAAATAAATGGTGATTCTAAAACAAACATATTGCTTTGAAATTGTAAAGAAAACTTGCGCATTTGATATGTCAGTAATGTCTGTATTGATGGGTTATGTAAATAAAGATGCTCTTCTTAGTGCTATTTTTTTAAGTACCTAAAGTAACATTATGAAAAACATCTTTACTTGCATAACACATCTTTTCCAACTTTAATTACTTAATTGATTATAGGAAAAACTACCCACTAACACTATTGTCGTAATATAGCACTTACTTGGCTATAAAACAACTATGGTGAGGAAGTAGTCGATGCCATGAGAAGTTAAATCAGAATTTAAAAAGAAGTTACATCAGAAGTTAAAAGCTAATTCTACTCAAATTAAACTATGAAGAGAACCACAGTGCCCAATAAGCAACACAGACAGTTCTTTGTCAATGCAAAATGCAAATGAAATTAAATTTATAGCTACTTAATGGTGTTTGCAATTGTGTGTTCCACAATAAACCAATACATACCAGTCTGAATAAACAGGTTTTCTGTTTTGTAATCAGACAGCAATATAATTCCACAAAAATGAATTATGAATAATTAATTTAATTAATAAATAATTAAAATATATGTATATCACATTGAAGAGTGCTAATATTTTAGAACCCTATCAAGAATATTTAGGTTTTTTATTAAAAGGGGGAAAAAGCTAGAAGTAATATAATGTTAAACTCCAGTATAATTATGTATTTGAGTTTATTATCTAAACATAAATAACTTCTGCATTGCAAGCAGAATATCTGACAAGGCCCCTGCCTTGGGCTTATAAATACATTAAAATATACCAATAAGAAAAAAGAAATCCCCAACCTGTTCAATTTCTCTGGCTTTTTCTGCAATAGCTATAGCCCGTCGCTCCTGAAAGTCATCATTCAGAAATGTGGTTGTATCGTCTCTGCTCGGCTGATGTTCCTCTTGTTCCCCTTCAAAAACTTGTAAATCATCCTAAGAAAAAAGGAAAAATAGTAATTTCCTCAACTTTGTAAAACCAAATTTATTTCTGAGAAGAAATAAAAACTTCAAGACTTCTTGAAGACTAAGGATGGAGGGAGAGGAGTATGTGCCACTTTTTATCTTCACAATATCCTTTTTCAAATAAAACACCCAGCTAATGATCAGGTCTGTTTTGCTTTTCATAATGATTTCTGATTGAACAACTGAATATTTTTCACATATAACAAATAGAAGAGTGACCACTCTGTAATTCAGTTTCCTGCTTTGTATGTTAAAGTAATAAGCTGATGTAACTGCACATGAATTTGCATTTGTTTAATGTGATAAATGGGATTTATAATATGATAACATCAATTCTAAATCACTATTAAGGTTTAAAGAACCATATTTTAGATTTTAACTTAATCTTGATCATTGTAATTTGACCTTAGTTTATACTGTCTCTAAAATTGGGCTAATTTCAAATGTATTGTTGGTGTCATTGCGGTTCAAATACATTATAAAGCTTTAAATATGTCCACACTACTAAAGCTGTAATTTTAGCAGATAAGGTAAGTTTAGTATGATGCAGATAGGACAGTAGTAGTATTTAGTATATCGTATTTAGATGTTGAATGCAAATTTAAAGCTGAAAAGCAAGCTAATGGAAGTTTAAGAAAATGTGAGAGTACTCTAATTTCACCAACTGAATTGTAAACATACATTGATCTCTCTGTCCATTTGTACACATTTACATCAGAAACCCCTCAGAAAAGTAATTTTTAACACAAATGGTCTTAAAAAGTAATGTTAAAAATATTTATGTAATGAGACCCACAACTTAGTGTTTAATGCTTTCTATGATTAGGACTTTAACAGGGCTCCACTGGGCTTTAGCTCATCTGACAGTTGCTGCTCTGACATTTCTGATGAATGTATTAGAAAAAATATTTACCAAACATGATAAAGTACATAACAGAGGACATTCATACATTTGAACATTTGACGTTCAAATAATAATGCTGTGTATCTGAACAACATGAATGGTACTTCTTTAACCTTATGTATATATAAATGGATGTCTGCAAAGTTCATGAAAGGTCTTTCAATGAGAGACTATTAGAAGCACAGTTACAGTTTATAGAAAAAAAATCAACTGTACCATTATCATTATTAAATCAATTAAAATATCCCCTAATATACATTAAGATTCAAACGTGTGCATTTTCTTAATGGTTAAAAAAAAACAAGTAGAGTTTTCTTTATTGTCTGTGTGTATTGTTAGATTTTACCACTATTGGGCATTAGGTGGACTGCTAAGCAGATTGTGCTGTGTTATATATATATAGTGAACAAAAAATAATTATGCTCTTCCATCCATCAGCAGCAGTTTTTCTGCTGCAACAACCCAGAGTCTTTCTCTGAATGAAAAGACTATTATCACCCTGGTGAACACCAGTCCATTGCAGGGCCATGGAAAAAGAAAAAGAAACAGACAATAGCCATCTTAAAACAGCCATTCACATCTATCCACCATAACCACTCCACACAGAAGGCACCTTCAGACCTTCACAGTTGTTCTTAATTTGAAATAAGTAATCTTGCTTATACTTATGTTTAGCATAAGTTAAACATTTTGAATGAGAATCTCAGATTTCTATAAGGGTTATCTATGATTCAGATAGGAATGTCATATCAACGTACATATCAAAATTTTAATGTTTTTAGATATTGAAGTCCTTCTAGATAAGAATATCTGCTAAGCAACTGCTGTTCATCATCTCATCAAAATCACATTTGATCACCATCTTTCTGGTGTGTACACAATTCCTGAAGACCACATAAATAAAACACTATTGACATCACAGCAGCAACTTAAAATGTCTCATTCATTCACATTTTTATATTTTGTGCCTCACCATAACATTAAGCTTGGTGGAAATTGAGACAAGAATTCAGAACTTCAAAGATTTCCATTAACTTCATGTAACAAAGCAGTCACATCTAAAGTAACAAAACTAGGTAAGGTTGCCAAGGGGCAGCATCACGACACTCCAGAAAGAGGAAGAAAAAATGCATCATCTGAATTTGCAAGAAGTCATTAGGGGACTGACATCACCTGTTCCTCTATACAAGAGATCAGGAAGTAAACAGGTTATCTGCATTGATTTGGGTTAGACTTTCACTGTCATTCAGTCTCATGAGGAGACTTCTGGTTATCAGTCTCTGATGATACTTCAGGTTACTGAAAAGGTAATTGAGAGCAGGGAAAGGCTCTCGAAAAGTTGCAGCCTCAGTCAGCGGTTCTGGCCAAATGGGATCGACCAAGTCGAGGAAAATTCCAGTTACTATTAATAAAGAATGAAAAGGTGAGAGGCATGCAAGTAACATACCAATTACAGGTTAAAAAGGTTAGTCTGGCTTCATCAAAATTCTGCTTATAAAATGGGAATTAATTTGTACAGATCCTCTACGCTCAGTTACTAAAGGGGGATATGTCAGACTTTCATAATAAAGGTATATTCTACTGTCAACTTAAGTAGTGCTTTTCATTGCTTGCAATGATCCCAGCCTCAGCAGGGTAGGGACATTTTCATACATAAAAGCAGGCACTGTAACACCCAATTTAGAAAAGGAAATAGCTGTAACTATAAATACAAATGAAAAGTATTGTTTTAATTCAATCTGAATTATAAATACTTTTTTCATCCCCAAGTGTGCAACATAAATGTAAGGGTTAAGCATGTTATACTGTACATTAAATCCTCTTAGAAAAACTCTCTTTAATTGCTTTAAAACACAATTGAATTAACAAACAACAAGCATTTAAAACTAAATTCTTCCAAGCCGGTCAACAATTGTCAAATTTTTGTTGTAAGAGTAATTAAGGGATAAACCATAGCAAGTGTTGAATCAGCAATATCATTCATACCCAACACCATTAAACTTCCAATTGTTTATTATTTGTGGATTCAACACTTTTCACTATTTTTCCCACTATCGTAGATAAACTGAGAAAACATTCCTGTGATGTCACCTTCTTTTCTTTAAGTTCATGTTATCAATGGACCAATACTTTCATTTTCAATCTATAGCACTTCAACAAAATACTTATTTTCTTTAATGAATATTAGTTAAATAACTAAACTTGTCTAAAATGTTTTCATAATTAATAGTTGTCACATGTAAGTGTAGTTTGTCTCTTCTTATCAAACATTTTAATCTAATTTAATGTTTATATAGTGGTTCTGATTTAAATAACCTTGTCCTCAAACATTGGGCTTTTGTGTATTCGTTAAAGAGAGTAATGGCAGAGATCACATTTTTGTCCTGGAACATGAAAGTGGAATGACAAAGTTAAAAATGCAGCACAAAAATTATTGTGTGAAAGATTTACACTTTGTTGAATTATTCATATGTAAAACATTAAAAGCCTTTTAGTTAATAAGCAATTTTCAGCTTGGACACTGGTTAAACATCAATGATTTATACATTTATTTTAAACAAGGCTAAACTAAAAAAAAAAATGTAAAGACTGATGTTTAATCTGAAGGATATATAGTCCTATAAAGAACTAAAACAAAATATTATTGCTGTGAAAGAGGGCACTGATTAAATGATTTTTGGAAAAAAAACATTAGAAGGGGTGACATGTATTCTGTACTTTGCAGCTGAATGGGTAGATATTTATATAAAATACAGAAAATGGATGGATGGATGGATTTGTTTAAATAATTATTTTGTCATGCATTTTTTAATTTACCTTTATACCTATTACTTCGTAATGTAATGAAACACTAAAATCAGTTGATTTTAATTATTGTACAATTTAACCATCATTAATTAAACTTATTGGAGAAATAATTATGTATTGTTCTGGTTTATACAGTTATCACATTGTGGATTATGCACCCAATGTTGTGCATTATATTATCAGCACATCTGCCCTGCCCTCCTTTTGTTCTGAAATTCCAACAATCTCTTTAGCTAGCAGTGAGTTAGGCAATGTAATCAGACCAAAATGTAACGTCACAAGAATATTTCAATAAGAGTGAGTAATTAATGGTGGTACATTCTGCAAAAGAGGCAAAGTATTAAACCAAATTTTGTGAGCTCATCTCCCAGGGAATGTGTCCGAATGTTTGAAACACCTCTGAGGTTAGCAATACAGGGGAAACTGTTTGCATGCAAAATGTTAGTTGTGGAAACACAAATCTTACAAATTCTGGCTGAGCCTCTGACACATCATTAGATTGTTCCAGTGTTTCATCGGCCTTTTCACTCAAAGCTTCTGCAGGCTGAGGCTCAGGAGGTTTGCTGCTTTTATCCGAGCTTATCTAAACAAATGAACAAATACACGAAGGCATGTTTCCATTAAAATTCTGTTATCCAAAAGAAGGACATGCTCCAAAGCAAGAAAGCATAACCCTGTTAAAGTAATGGAGATAGATCAATTACCAGACTAATAATTTTCAATGGACATAAGATTGGAGGAAGGCTTTAGACATGCTGGCAGACAGGACTATGAAAAGTGGTTTTCCACTTTTTCCAAGGATAAAACATGATTAATCCAATGACAATACACAGACATTTGGAAGCCAAAGACAAACCATTAGACAGCTCAAAACCCAAAGTTTTAAATAAGAAAAATCTCCCCAAACACATTTCATTTTCTTTCTGCTCTTTGTATCAAAACTCAAATTTTGGAACTTCATTATTTTTATTTGCCAGTGGGTGTAGGGGGACTTTTTTCATTAAGTATCTGTAATGAAACCAAAGTGCATTATACAGTTATAAATCCTTCATAACTCTTTTCCTGCTTCCCAGCAACAGCACACTTGCAGTAACTGCAGTTATCCACACAATATAAGGTTCATTACATCTAGAATGAACAGGCTAAACCTTCCTATGTGAGAGTGTAGGATAACTGAACAGACACTGACGACAAGCCTTTTTATGTTAATGTTAATGTTGATTATTCAAAACAATCAATCATCATCTATACTGTTAAAAACCTGCCTGTCCCACTATTGTTCCTAATGTGTGGCTTGAACTAATGTCATTAAACTTCCTATCACTCACGAACAAACAATGAATATTTGAAAAAAAAGCACCGATCAAAAGCAGGGGTGCAGAAAACAGATTTAAGACTGCAATACAGAAACAAACTCAGGAATCTGAGTTTTAAACTGAAGTTATTTTTTTTTTTTTACAAGATACATCCTGATGTTCCCTGGGTGACAAGTTCAAGTGGCATTAAGCTGCAGAACCCCATGGACCTTCTCTTCTTAACCAGGGCTATCTTGAAGCTTTCTCTGCTGCCTCAGTGATATTACAAACAGCTCTCCTCCTTCTCTCTCCAGTGATGCCCAATATGCTGAAGGCTTTGTAGACTGACCAGCAAAACCCCTACAGCCAACCTCAATAGGCATACACTTACTTTCCAGCCCTGTGTCCAGCAGTCATTTACCAGCCCCTCATACTTGGCCATTTTCCTCTCGTAGGCCTCCTCCAGTTGATCCTCCCATGGCACTTTCAATTCCAAAAGGATTATATTTTTGGTTGACTTGGAGACCAGGACAATATCTGGCCTCAAAGTGGTCTTGACAATGTGCTGTGTTCCCCAGTTGTTTTTCCAGGCCAACCATGAGTTGCCAGTTCCATGCAGTCTCCTGTATCCCTACTCTTGACTGAACTCCTGAGCCTAAGTGCTCTCCAACTCTGACAAAAGCTTTCTTCTGAGACATGGGCCGTACCTTTTTCCTGCTGCTAATTTCTATGCTGATCCCTTCTGCAATTATCTTCAGCACCTGACTGCGATGCCAATGGTACCTGCCCTCTTCCAAGAGCCTTCTTACACCCGATCAGGATATGCTCCAGAGATCCTGGTGACTCCACTTTCTCCCAGCTGTGCAAATCTGCAGGGCTAGGAAGGACATCATACATGGACTGGACCAGGAACTTAATCTGCTTAGGATCTGCCTGACAGAGATCAGCCTGCGTGACGCTCTTCTCCCACCTTGTCCAGGCTCCTTGCTGTCTCATCCCCACTGCCCTACTAAACCTCTCCTCCTCCATAGCTGCCCTCACCTCCTGAACTAACCCATGCCACTCCTTCCTTCTAGCAGTGTCATACCGCAGGGGTGAGAAGGTGTCAAGTCCAGCTCTTCCATGGGAAACTACTCCCACTAAGGCTCTGTGACGCAGACAAGACTCTAACCCGATGAATGGCCTTCTTTGCTCTCCACTTCCTACCAGTCTTAACCTCTATCCCCTCCTGGGCCACCTTCGGGTCTCTTAATTCTTTATACAACACCTCTCTTGCTCTGGCCACTTTAAACTCTTCTTTCAGGGACTGCAAGGGCAGCCTAAGCTTAGTAACGTTTCCATAGAGCTGAGGCTGCCCTTGAAGTGCATGGAAGAAGAGTTTAAAGAGTGCTGAGGCTCCTGGGAAAGCCCAGCCACCTTCGAAGGAAGCCACTGACCTTTCTCTCCAAATTCACTACCATGGAAATAGGGACTTCATATACCTGTAGTGGCCAGAGTATCCTTGGGAGAATGCCATGTTGATAAATCCACCCTTTAAATTTGCCAGGTAAATCTGACCGATACACCATTTTCAACCATCCCTCAATCTCCTGACACATGGCCTGGACTGAAGTGTAGTCCTTGAGGCTGCTATCAAAACACCTTGTCAAGGCTCTTTAGAGGCTTCTCAGAGACACTCGGAATGCGCGTCCCTGCCAAGTTGAAATGGAAACTATCCACAACCTTACCCCTATTCATCAGTAGTGACCTTGATTTTTCTGGCTTAAAGCTCATCCTTGCCCATCCGATCAACCTCTCCAGCCCCTGCAGGATCCACCTGCTTCCTGGCACTGACTCCGTTGTAACTGTCAGGTTGTCCATTAAGGCACAAATTGGTGGCTGCCTTAGCTTTAGGGCACCGGCATTCAGGTTCAGCAGACTTGAAAACCACATTCATTGCCAGGGCAAAGAGGGTCACAGAGATGGTGCAGCCTGTGATTATCCCAACTTCCAATCTGTGCCACCCTGATGTTATTGACCCCGAGGAAACACTCATGTTAAATTGATCGTAATAATCAAGGATGAGATTCACCTCTCTACCTGGAAAGTAGTATTTGCGCAATTGCCTGGACCAACTTGTGGGGAGAGGATCCATAGGCATTGGTCAGGTCAAACCAGAGCACTACCAGGTTACCCCTACTTTCCCATGATTCTCTTCTCTAATAAGCTGGGTCACCACTCCTGTGTGCTCCATACCTTATATGCTACTCCATGCGGGCCAGGGGCTGAACTTGCCCTTGCTTTTCTTACGACCTCCCGGACCTCCTTCAAGAGTGGCTCCCTGGTGTCAAATTCAGTACTTGGTGCTGCCGGATCCACCAAAATACTGCACTGTCCCAATTCCTGCTCCCTTCGGGGATCACTGAAGGAACTCTGAAATTACTGATCGACTTTCTCCTTAGAACACTCCAGGCTCCCGCTTCGCTTCTGCACCAGGAGCTGTCTCATGAAGCCAAAAGGATTGGCTATGAAGGCAGTTTGTTTTCTAGCTCTCTCCTTCCGGCATCTTCTGCGCCACTCAGCTCTACATAGGGTTATCAACTTCTTCCTCAAAATGTCCCTTAACTCTGACCAAAGGTGGTCATTCCTTCTCACTTTATACTGCTTCTTTAGAAATGTACAAAATCTTCGCAGCTCTCTGATTCATGGAGTAAGATGCCCTAGCTGGCCTCTGCTCCTCTGTACCAAACCTCTCTGCAGCTAAGTTGACTATGATTGTTGTCATAGTCTGCAGCCTTCTTTCAACATAACTCCTTCCGCCATCACTTCCAGCACTTTATCCACATCCTCATCAAACTGCTGCCAGACTTTGGATTTGCAAACTTACGGCCATTTGACTCGAACTTTCACAGATAATCTGCTTGGCTGGACTTGTTTCAACACATGGAGGCTCCAGGCACTGTGGGGTGATTCCGGGCCTGGCTCCTGCTGCGTTGTGTCACTACTTGCCCCTCCAAACATTTCATCCTAGACTGATGAATCTTTAGGCCTCGATGGTTCTTGCAGATCTTTCCGCACACACATACCGTACTCATTATCACTTTCCTTTGCTTAATTTATTAACCTTTGGTCCTTCAAATTGGGGTGCTCATTCCCCCCCTCTCGGGCTCCCCTGGGGGTATGTTTCCTTTAAATAGTTTATTCTCTCTTATTTTATACTTTGGTATGATTTGTAAGCAGCAAAATAACTTTTTGTAAATTAAGTAAAAAAATAATCTTTTGCTTTAATAAGTAAAAAAAGTAAGAAAAGCACAAATCTGACTGGCAAACTAAACAAATATATATATATACACATTTTATTGTTATTTAAAATATCTTGAATGCATTGATAGGCACAGCTTAATTTTCGTAAGATTAATCACATTGGCATACTCCTCTTGGTGACATGGTGCCACGTCATTTTCCCCATATAACTTGCACAAACAAAATAAACGGTCACAGATCTGTAATGCACAGACAAAATAATCTGGCTGTTTAAAAACATATTCCATCTGTCTTCATTTTGTTTAAATCAGTATTTCCAATTGACAGGCATCCAGTGAAAACCCATTTCATCTAACCTGTCCAAAATATTTTACAAAATGTTTGTTACAGATGTTTCCATTGAACTGTTTCAGAAGTAAAGCATTGGTCTAAATGATAAAAAAAAATCATATATTTCTGCAATACTCGCTGGCATTCCTGGAGTAACGTGGCTCAGTGCTGAGTCAAACTGTTAATAAACTCACCTCTTGAAGTCCCAGGATCTCAGGGGTCCCTAGGGTCAACTTCAGCAGGAGATTTCTGTAAGGTTAATCACCTCTGCTCTATACACATGCATAGCTACACCACATTCTACTGTTATAATGCCAACTAGGAGAAGAGCTCATGTTAAGCCAAAAGTCAGTGCAGGCTCGATTATCTAAAGGTACTTGTACTGTTGTATCTTTAACATATAGGTGACATTATGACTGTAGTGAGCTTGAAGAAATGGAGCTGGTGTTAAGACACAAAAAAGAGAGGGTGTTGCCTCAAACTGTCAGTATTTTATTCACAAACTGTGACTTGACAGATAAAATAAGTTACCAAACAATTATAAGTTATCTGCTCTGCTGCAGAATGAGTTATTTTTGATAATTAATGCAGTGTCATAATATCATTGGGTAGTTCAAATACTCACAGTTTCATGTGATAAAATGTACCTTATTAAAAGCTAAAGCTAATAAAGCATTTGTACACATTTGCATCCTCAAATTCTGTTCTTTGCAATGAAACTGTTGTGATCCTTTGACTGCCAGTTCTTTTCCAGATTTGGAATTGCAATACCTCAAACAAAATTCCCAGAAGGTTTATGTTTCCTGTCAAGAGATTCAACTTGCGTTTATGACATATTTCAGTTCAGGAATACTTTCATGTGTGGTTCCCAGGACTCTTTCCAGCACAGCAACATCTTTAATGTTCACACAGAACAGAAAATAATTATTTTGCTTATCATCAAAGGAATACCACATGGGCTCTTCTCTCAACATGTAAGGAAGCACTTGATTATGTCTTACAAAGCATGATGCCTGCTTTTGAGCAATAAACAACTACTTGCTGCAACACTTGTTGTCCCTGTCACTATAGTTTCTAGTACAACAACAAACCACGCACAATCTGGTGTATTTAAAATGTTTTTTAATTCAGTATGTCAAAGAAACAGGTGTGATGTTATAAAAAAGTTCCAGGCACCAAAATCATTAAAGATTTTTCTTTGTTGCATCATACGGAAGATGAATGATTTTTTAAAGTCAGTATCAATGTCTTCTCTGTCTCAATAATTATGAGCTGGCACTGGACTGCACAAACAGCTGTTTCTAATCATTCCAAATCAAGCCTACCTTTGAAGCAGATGTGGAACTCTGTGGAGAGGCATCTCTTGAAGTGTTTAAGGAATAGCTTGATGGTCTTTCTTTGTCTGTAGAAAAAAGCAAACAAACAGCTAAAGTTACTGCAAACTGTTAGTTTGCACAGCAAATTTATATTTACAATGGTTAAACAACAAAGCCAAACATCACAAAAACACTTTAAGATGTACCACATATACCACAATCCAACTTTTAAATCAATAACTTTTAAATAATAAAATTAGTTATTTTATTTGCTGTGTATTCTTTTCATCGGTTACTATTTTACTTTTAAAAATGTTTTTGATGTTTTAACAAAACACATGTATTAACTTAAGGATTTGTAATATATAATTTTTCCATCTTGTGGGACTTCCTGTTTCTGGGTCATTCTCAAGAGAATCTAGCTATAAATTCATCTTTAGTCTTCAGTCAACATGGATAAACAGGACAAAAACATCACAGTATTAGAGATGTGATCTGTTTCTCAAACACAAAGACAAACAGCTGCTTACATTTTATGTTCACCCAAAACAATAATCACAGAACAGCAGTTTACAGTTTCAGAAATATTGAAATAATATTGTGCCCCATGGGCTCCAATATGTCTATAAGAATGATTACAAAACACCAAAAAATGTTTTTTTTTAAATAAGATTTTCCATTGTGATGAATCATAGCCAAAGTAAAATTAAATACAGACATATTGTTACCCAACAATGTACTGTTCAGAATAAGAAGGATACCTGACTGGAACTTTGTGATAATGTATTCCCTGGTATTCAGCTTCCACTTAAGAAGTGCTCACAAAAGTTCTCTAATTAGCCTGTAGAGGTTAACAGAAATTAAGATAATTCCATTTTAATGTGACAAACTGTCATATAACCACTAAGGCAGCAGTGTGAAATGGAAGTTAGACCTCTGGACTCTAGACCCAGACTTGATGCTGATATTGCACCCTTAAGCAAGGTATCTCCACTAAAAGCCCTGCTGTTGTATAAATGGGTCTCCAGTTCAACACTGTAAATTTGAGATTGTTGTCGATTGATTTATAATGTAAAAATAGAAATAAAAAAGTGTTTAAAACCATAATAAAGTGAAACTTTAGATTACGCTACATGTGAAAAAGTGTAAAAAAGGGGAAACATACACAAAAATAGTCTGCAGATGAAAAAACGCCTGTTATAATGAACCTACACACTGAATTAGTTTATGAAATCTGCAATATTGTGAACCTATACCATAACTCCTCCTATGTATACTGTATTGGCATATGAAACACCTTAACAATAGTGTTTGCAGGGCCTATGGAATATATAACGTACATTAGGGAAAACTACATACAAAAATTTATATAACAAATTCATTTCAAGATGGAACAAATGGTTCTTCCTTTCATTATAATGCACTGAATAGAAAGTTAAATGTTTCTTCACTTAGTATATACTAATACATGAAGATAGTCAAGAGAGTTTGTGTTTTTTTTTCTATTCAATGGTTATTAAAAGATGTTTCACAAAATAAACAAGGTAGATAAAAGAGCAGCAATACTTTGGTACAGAATGAATAATTTTAAACAGTTTCCTATTTCTAGTTTGTTTTGCTGTATCCAGAGGATACAGGGTCGGCATGGACGAACATGTTATTAATTTTGCAGTGCCACTGAGAATGTCAGAATTATCTATATTACATTAGCAAACTAAATGACTTTAGAGAGGACAACACTAAAAATTGCATGAACAGGAACAGGAAATAATACAATAAATGACAAAGAAAAAATATTTTTGGTTAAAATCCTTGAAAGTATTTTTTGACTGGAATTGTATGCACCGTTTTAATGCATTTTTCATAAAGATAAAATTACCATCTGTCACACAATGCATAAAAGATAAAAGGTAATATTATATACACGATTTTGTACAAATACATGCATTCTGATTTATCTATTTTACATTTAATATTATCATATAAACAACTTCAAATAAAAAACACAATCATATTAAAACTTCCACTTTTTTATTTTATGCATCTTGGGTGGTATTTCTGGATACCGTTTCCTCTTTTGGCAAGAGGGCAAAATTTTCATTTTGTATTAAGTGCAAATCACATGTGATATTCTGTTCTCATTGCATTTTCTTTGGCATGCCTGTTTCCTGGCCTTATTTCTCATCCTGTAGAAACTCAGCACCCTGTCATAAATATCCACTCCACCCATGCTGGTTTTATATTCATGGCAGACAGTAGGTCATGCTGTCTGGATGCATCTCTTCTCTTTTCTGATGTGTACAACTTCCTCTTCTTGAACTTACACAAATGCCATCATTGTGTATAAAAATTTTATAGGAGAAAAAAAGTTAAGTTTAAAATAGTTTTCATACTTGATATTCACATGTTCAACATTTGCAAATTCACTTAATTACCAAAATTATCAGTGGCCACTTTGTTACGCATTTGCAGACCAATGTTTATGCACAAAACAGGTTATGCACAGTAGGAGAGTAAATGTGGATATAGCTTAGATCATATAGTTAACATTTATGTAGAATAGAATAGATTGTGTAGAATTAACTACATTTTTCCAACAGTTCAAAACATGTTCACACAGAGGACAAAAGCAATGGTCTGGACTCAATATTTGGATCAAATATGTAGATATAATAGAAAAGTTTGTAGTTCTCGGGTGAAAAACAATTCTGCTTTCAATGGACCACAGCTTACCTCTGTAAAACTAAGCAGAGAAACAATTTTGGTAAACTTTTCAATAAATAGGTTCTCCACATAGACAGGCAGATAACTCAGTTTAGTGCCCATCTGGGACAGACTTCCTAATCTCTGTTATCTTTCTTTGAAATATTTAAACATTTCAGTAAAATCTGAATGGTAAACACTTCTAAACTTGCCAATACCATCTTATTTTAGTTGACATGATTGTGTTTGTAGAAACCTGTCTTTAGCTTTTACACTGAAAACAAAATACCTCAAAATGTAACAAACGTAAAACATGTACTTGATTAACCTAATTTTTGATAAGGTGTTTTAACATTTCCTTTCAAATACTTTAATATGAGCAAAACCGATTATCTTACTAAAAACATGGCGAAAAACAAGAATAACTGAAATTCCAAAATGTTATTAAATAGCAGGTTCACGTTTTAAATTTCTAATGTACAGGCATTCAGAGTAACTTCCTACTGTCCTAACATAATGGAGTAAGTGATTAGATTAAACAAATGCCCGCATATACACGCAATACCAAATCTGAGTGAAGCAGAAATAAAACCCAAGAAAAATACATTTTCTTAAGATAAACAATCAGTAATGGTAACCACTGCATTACTACACAACCATTTTTTGTTTTTTGTTTTAGGCTTTTCTTTTAGTTTAACTAAAAACAGATTTGCTCTAGAAGAAATGTATATTGTTTTATAATCCACTGAATATCTCATGATTGTTAAATAACTATATAGCCTAGTTTGAGTCCTGACAACAGCAATTCCTACTGCTGTAGACAAATTAAACTGGTGGTAAAGATGTTGAAGATGAATGTTCTGGTGCTATCTTGGTGAGGTGACCATGGATGAGGATGAATACCAGAGTACCAGAACTTCTAACATGTTCAAACAGATGAGAAATGGTCACTGACGTGACACCAAGGCGACATTCCAACATTCACTCTCGCCGATTCATCTCCTCAACCATCTGTTGTGGCACGTTGCCGATGAATTCACTGTTTTTACAAGAGTGGGAAGTGCACAAGTCAAGGCTATGGCATAAGCTGACTGGGGCCAGGATTTCCTCAGTGTGCCATATAATTGTGACTCCTGGGACTTCCTGTGCCTCCAATTAGTGTTGACTATATTGTAAGCACTCCAAAGTTAATGGCATCCTGTAAGGGTAGTGCAAGGAAAATATGGGATACTGCATGTCAACTCAGAAAATCAACTAAGACTGAAAACTTTCTGATTGAAAAGAAGAAACACATATTAAATTCTCCATTTTCTTGTTTAAGACAGTTGGTTAACAGTACTATTGATTGTTACCATCAATATTCAGGCATGATAATTTTTTTGGCCCGGTCAAACTATAGCCAAACTTTGTGGCAATAATCAAGCACAACGAAAACACCCTCGTGCTGCTCATGTAACAACAGCTTTCTCGAGATATGTGATCGTAATTTACCAGACTTGACCCCCGCTGAACATTTTTGGGATGAACTGGGACATTTGCCATCTAGGGCTCAGAAAAACGAGAACATGACATTCCACACTCTGTGAAAGAAATTGAACACAATTCTACAAGACAAAATCTCTAAACTGGTAAAAAGCACGCCTGCATCCTATGTTGGCAACATAAATTAGTGTGTGCATTTCCCTGTAAGATGCCCTGTTGATGACCCATGTTGTTTGGCATAATAATATACTTGCCTATGCCATGTCAGTTCAATACAAATGTTGGTGTAACAGCAGCAATAAAGATTTGGTATTTTTCCGAATAACTTTATGAATATGTTGCATTTCCAAGTCTTGCACTTTATGGTCTTGGATTTGATAGTATATTTCGGGTTTTGCATGAATTTATGCCCTGCTCCTACAGTGTAAAAAGATTAAGAGTTCTGATATGTGGTTGTGTTGTGAGAATGGGTGCACTGGGGGTATAGGGATTGTAGCATTAAGCTATATTGATTGATAACAGGTAATTCACAACTTGCTATAAAATAAAAAGTAACAGGTAATTTCAATTGTTTTAAAGGTATTTAAATTATTTCTGTATGGGTTAGATTTATTTTACCTTTGTTTTATTACAGTATCTGAACTGCAAAACAGACAGATGTTCATGAATTGCAAATTAAGATCTCTTAAGACTACGACTCTTTTCAAGGTGAAGTGAAATTAAATACTTCACCCAATGAGATATCATCATAAATTTGACATCAAACAATAAATGTGTTTTGAAGATAAAACCCTCACAGTCCATTTGCTCTTACATTTAAGAAACCCATATGCAGAGCTTTAAATATGAATTTCCCTACCAGATGGTCTTTTACCGAAAATAAAGACCTTGTCTGCCTTAT